AGCAGGGAGCCCGATGTGGGGACTCGATCCCAGGACCCTGGGATCATGACTTGAGCCGAAGGCAGACGCTTAACGACTGAGCCACCCAGGCACCCCTCTGATGAAGCTTTTTAACCAGGTTCTCTACCCTTGTAAGGTTCTTTGTTAGGATTTCTCTTCTTTATCTCATCCACGTTTCAGCCTCTTTCCCACAATGCCGGCTGGTGTGCCTACTACTCCTGGGGCCTAAGTTTGCTTCCTGCAATTTGAACTTCAAATGATTTTTTTTTTCTTTTGCAAGCAGCCAAGCAAGGAGATCATCCTCCATATTCCACAGCACAGAACTACCTCTGGCATAGGCTTAGAATGTGTTCCTCCCTGAAAACTGACAGTATGGATTTCCTGAAACAGATCGTGCAGGTTTTTGGCCATGATTAGCCATTGGTGCTCTGCGGTGCTTCAGGAAAATTGTCCCCTCTTTTCCACGTGTTCAGGAAGTCCCTAGTCAAACTGTACAGATGTTCCCTGTTCCTTTTATTTTCAGCTTAAACTTAAGTTACACTTTCTTCTGTTTTTCCTCTGAGTAGTGCTTTTCCTAGCCCGAATAATGTTTTTCTCAAGGGCTTTGTCTTTTCTCCCAGAGAAGTGAGGGGGAGTCCTCAGAAAGCACATGGCGTGCACTTCACTTCTCCACCCTGGCCCTGGGTTACAGTGGAAATGGGGGTGGGGGGGGAGACTCATCACTCCCGCACACGTACTCACAACAGGTGGGGGCAGAACGATGCTCATTCCTATGGAGCGCCGTGACCAGTGTTAAATCAGCAAGTGTTATTTCTGGCATCTTAGATCTAAGGAGTGGTAAACATTCCCACATTCTTCTGAGAAGCCAAACCCACATATACACTTCAAGTCAGCAAACAAATGTGAAATCTCAAGGAGCCATGCTCGGCATTTCGGAAGAGGCATCCCTGCCCATCCTGGGACAACCACAGCCCGGGAGCCAAGGCAGAAGGTGGCCGTCATGCACTTAGCCGCTTATACTTTATCTCTTGCTACTCAGACACGACAAAAAGAGGTCTTGCTTTTCTCAGCTGATGGAAAATTGTGCATTCGAATTTCTGTTCTTCAGAGTGTGTTTTCTCCTTTTAAAATCAGAGTGGTAAAGGAGCGCCTGAGTGGCTCAGTCGGCTAAGCGTCCCACTCTTGATCTCAGCTCAGGTCTTGATCAGGGTCTCAGGGTCCTGATTTTAAGCCCCACATTGGGCTCCATGGAGCCTACTTTAAAAAAAAAAAAAAAAA